TGTGACTTTCGTGCTGGTGAAAAAAACTGGGAAAAAGTTACAATCAAATAAACAATATCGCGCTACTTTGTGTTACCTCAAAATGGCCAATTCCATGTGCAAATTATAGTGTCACAATCTCGACATATTAAACGGCTACCGAACGATTACTAGATTAAGTTTTGGCTAAGTTTTGGTCACCGGATCAATCCATTTATTTAGAAGAGCGCAGAAAAACCAGTTTGACTGAGGAAAAACCGGTCATGACCATCCCCAACTCTTGGGCTATCGGCAGATTAAAAAATTAAGAGGTTTCGGCAGAGTSTTATTTCCTTCGCGAATTTCTTACTGAGGTAACGTAAATAACACGCAGGGTATGAGCCATGCTGCCGTGCACGTGGAGGGCACTGACTGGTACGAACAACAAGAGCCCGGCATGGTCTACAGAGGAGGCTACGATGGAGAGGTTAGGTGCGCTAATCTGTGAAAACAAGTTCAAGATGCTTGGCTTGTATGATGAACTAACGCACTTCCTAACACAAATGAACATCTACAAGGGGAAGACTTTGACTGACTCGCAAGATCTTGCAATGTTGCTGCAGTTACATAATGGTTTGTCATGGACAAGAAAAACAGGTTAGTGTACTCCTAGAGTCAATGCATAAATAGWCACAGGTAGACCAAACTCGATGGCAATGCTGTCTATCAATGGACACGTATTATTATTCCGATTAGGATTTATGAAAAAAAAAACTTCTCAATTCTAGCGTGAACTTCAACTAACACCACATTTACCACTGTTTTTGTTAGGTTCCCGCGAATGCAACTTCAGCATGCCATTGACGAGTTTGTGAAAAAGAGGGAGAATATGTACAGTGCAATGCCAGGCGATATTTGAAGATTGGAAGTAAAGTGGTAAAAATATTGCATTGTGGTACTCACTCATGTCCAGTGCTTACAAAACAAGCAAAAACCAACAGAAAAGGTAAACGGGGTCCGTGCAGACTATCAACAACGAAATTTAAGGACTTTTCAAGGACCAAAATTGTATTTTCAAGGAGCATCAAAATCATGCTAATTGTACATTCTTACCTCAAAACGTCAGCCGAACGGAATAATTAAGAGATCGCTAGTGCTTCGTGATAGAGATCCATCTTTTTCAATGACTTTTTCAAAATTTTCAAATTTTCAACGAGTTTCGAGTGCCCTTGAAAAYTAGTTTTCAATTCAAGCACTTTTCAAGGATTTAATGACCTGCACGGACACTGGGTAAAACAAATGATAAAGAAAAATCCAAACTTAAAGCCTGCTGAAATACAATCAGCGTTTGTCCTGAGTAGTTTATACCCCCGTTATACCGCCTTTAGGGGAGGGGTGGTCATTGGCAAAAATTGCGAAAATTGTTCAGAAGAGATTTTACGGTTGCGTGCATGATAGACCAAGTTAACGGGATCACGATGTCTGCATCGAGACACCATATACAGAGCAATTAGACCTGTATCTTGAAGAGGCTAAAAGAAACGTAAACATGAACAACGTTGCAGAGTTATGGCGTATGGCACAGTCAGAAATCCAACCACCAGTGTATCGATTGGATTTACTCTCGTATTCACTGTGATTTTGGAGATGAGAAATTAGACACTCTTTCGAATTATATTTAGTTTACTTTTGACTCTCGTGTCAAGTTACCTTGATTAGAGCTTTTAATTGTAATTGTTTTAAACATGACTGCCAAATCAAGGAATTGAACATGTTTGCTATTAATTATTTCTTCATATTTAGCTAATCGAGATTTAAAATAAATAAAAGTGTTTTAATATTTTTAGCTTATTTTAACTCAGCATTGAAGCAGTTAACATGAGCTCCTGCTTCCCAGACTTTAGCCTTTAAAGCTAAGTGCAAATAATATTTGTAGACGAGCTGGATGTATTTTTGCCTGTTGTGGAGGAAAGGTTATTATTAATGATTCAGATTGCATAGATGGAAGAGTTTTGTTAGACTACGTCTCCCTGACATTTAGTTAATACAATGTTAATAGGTTATTAAAAAACTCATACATAATTAATGACCTACTGGGCCAATAGAATGAGCCTATTTGGTCACATGCATGGACCTTTATATCTGATAAAACACTCCTTATTAGTATTCTTTATATAAAGAATACTAATAAGGGTGACCTTTATCAGATATAAAGGTCCATGACCCTAGCAAAGGTCTCAGGTTTGAAACCTGATCATTGACCAATGCAGGATGTCAACCGATTTCATTGAACAGTCAAGAGCGGTTCTATTTTACTTTATGCGTATTCAATGTGGGATGACAAGAGTGCTTTGTAAAGTGATTCGCGCATGATCAGTTTGCCCCATTTATCTCTGAATATATTTGTACGGCAATTTCTCCAAGAATGTTAACGGATTTGAGTTTCAAATTAGTGTTGGAGTTTTTTAAGCCGTTTAAAACACTCTCTCTCGTGTTTTAAACTATACATAGTAGATTTCAGTTTTAAGGGATCTGGGGACAGTTGTTTTTAGTACCGACCATGACGAAAGAAACGCATCGAAATGCAGTTTATTTTACTTTGATCCGGTCAATATTTTGTCAAATGAAGGATAAAAGACCAAAATATCTTATATATAGATTTTAAGAAAATCGAGTGTAATTTATTCAAGTTATGGGGAAATCCTGGAAAACACTTMAACTTGAATATTTCGCAAACCAGCCCTATTTTCTCTAAAATATTTCTGAACCTTGTTATTAGTGGTATTACAAATGTGTGAAAATTTTAAATGAATTATGTCGAGCGCAACTTAAAATATGATCTCTTATACACGGAGCAGGCTTTTTCAAAGAAAAAACTCGAGCTCAAAGTTAMAAATTGTTATTTCGATTTCTATTGCATGTAGATCATTCAATTTCTGTGCTAGTGAACTTTGTTCCTATTTCTACATTCATGTTTAGTTTGGGCGCTGTTCGTCAATTCGTTGCTGAGGTAGAGCCATAATACTTAAAGTGTAGTTTTAGTGCTAGTCTGCCCATCTGACGGATACGAATGTCGAACGTCGTATCTCAAAAACCTGTCCAAAGAATCTTTTTAAATTTCTTGAGCATGAAGACGAATCCCCTCTTTATGTTTTTCGTTTGGTCTTTTTTCAATTGAAGTGTTTGGACGGACGTAGTAAAATTATCAAAAATGTTAATTTTGTGCTTGCTATTTCTCCAGATGATTGTACGGTATGCGAAAGCCTTTGTTGACTTTTTCATTGTTTTATAAAACAACAGGGGGGTTAAGGGATTTGTAATACATCACGATCTTTGTCACGCAGTCTTTTCTATATGAATAATGGACTAGAGGAAACTTTAATTTGAGTTGTTTTAATGACTTTTTTGGCAATTCCATCGTCTATGCTCAATATTTGTTCAAATATATTTCGTACTTATCGTCAAGTTTTGACACAATGATAATATAGTTCAGTATGAGTGCTGCATATTAGATAGRCGTAAACTTAGTTTTCATTTTTATACTGCGCTTTTAAAGGAAGCCACTAGTTTTGGCAAGACCTTTACACCTTTACATGTTACTCTCGGTTTTGCTTTTGTTTGTCTAAGGATCTCGACGTTTATTGTCAAGGATAACAAGATCAATAAATTTCGTAATCCTTTCTTCTTGAAAACATCGGCAAGGCTAGTGGTTATTCCATCCTGGATGATCTTATGCTTGAGCTGCTTTGAAAGATTTAGTCCATTCAATTCTTCACTGAGTACCTTGGTTCGCAACTTTGAAAGTGTCTCTTGTTCCACTATGGCCATGGTCTTAGAAATAGCTAACACTTCATTTGGATCCACTCGAATGTCTGGATGAAAAATAATCTTGGAAAGCGCTTTCACATCTTCTGTAGCATCATGGGCGCCGAACTCCTCTCCAAACAGAAATTGATGTAGTGCAGAAATCGACTTTGACTTACATTGATGGATTAGCGAGTTTTTCTGGCTGGCATGTCGTT